GGCCTCATCCCCATCGAGATCCCCTTCACCGCGTCCGCCAAGAAGGTGATCGAGTCCTCAACTGAGGAATCGCGCCAGCTAGGTATGTTATGCCCCGTTGCAAGTTCATCCAAAGAAGATGTTCTTGCGGTCGTCTTAGGTTATCTTCTTTTTACTAGTGAAGTTCTTCTCTTGATTTAATGATGATGCACAGCAATTTATCAGCACAAACAATTTTGTTACGAACTTATTTGTTTCGTCCACACATGGTTTTTCATCTGCAGTAAATTCCACCAAAATTGCAGATATGTTTCAGTAGGCGTAAGAATATTTGTATTTGGGTCAAAAATTGTAGGCGTAAGAAGATGGCTCTTGCTTGCGGTCGTCTTCGGTTATCCTTTTGTTATTTAGTAAAGTTCTTCTCTTGATCTAATGCTGATGCACAGCAATTTATCAGCACAAACAATTTTATTCGGGGCTGTTTTGTTTTGTCCACACATATGGTTCTCATTTTCAGTGTAATTTCAACAAAATTGCAGATATGTTTCGGTAGACATAAGAATATTTGTATTGCGTTCCAAATTTGCATCGCCGTGGAAATATTTCAGTGAACGTTAATTTCAGCAGAATTTAAACAGAACTCAAAATTTCATCCAAATTTGGTTGTATTTCAGTCAAAGTCAAGGGAGAATTTTTGTCATTCAGCCAAACTGAACCAAAATAACAATGTTGGTGATTTCAGCGATGATCGACATCGAGAATATGAATCATGGCCAGACATTCCATAGATGCAAAGTACAGTATGGTTAACTGTATTCTCTCATGATAGAATATCATTGGCGCATTATTAAGAATCAGGAATACTTATTTAGTTCTCTTATTATCATTGTTCTTTGTTGCTATTGTTGCTACTGCACATTATATATTTTCTTTAAGAACTTAGACAACCGGTTATTTTTCTCGCACTAAATCGCCTTAAAACTGTCCAGGGCATAACTACATTGGAACGGAACACTTGCTTCTTGGGTTGATCCGTGAGGAAGATGGTGCGGCAGCCATTGTACTTAAGAACTTTCAGGCTGATCTCGGCGACATTCGCAATGAGGTAGATTTACACTGAGAACTGTTAACCAAACGGTCAGTTTTTTTTACTTCCATTCTCAGTTGGCAAACTCACAGCTATGAGTTATGTGTTGCTTCTTTTAGGTTATCAAAATGATCACTGACATGTCTGAAGATCAAACTGTCGGTGCCGGCGTTGGGGGAGGAAGCAGTGGGGCCAAGATGCCTACACTCGAGGAGTATGGGACTAATCTAACAAAATTAGCACAGGAGGTACTGAACTAGGCCCATCATGTCATAATAATAGCAGTAGTTCAGAATGCAAGGAAATAGAGTAAATAACTTGTGAATCTTGATATTTTCTGTAGGGGAAGCTCGATCCCGTCGTCGGAAGGAACAAGCAGATCGAGCGCGTGCTGCAGATTTTGGGGAGACGAACAAAGAACAATCCCTGCCTAATTGGAGAACCCGGTGTTGGAAAGACGGCTATCGCGGAAGGCCTTGCGCAGCGCATTGCCACCGGGGATGTGCCTGAAACAGTTGAAGGGAAAACGGTTTGTGTTCATCACATCTCTTGTGTTAAATATGCTTTTATGTGCTGTTGAACTTTGAACCATCTATTTTATGTCATGTTGAACTTGGAACTATGTATGTACTGCCCTGTTGAACTTGGAACTATGTATGTACTGTCATTCACTGTTTATGTCAAGCATTTGGACCTATCTTCTAAATTGTTGTGATTTATGTCATGTACGAGACCATATTTGAGACTACATGCTATTTCTTATTGTTTCGAATTTTGTGTTATGTTATCGTAAAAATATATTGTTGTCATTCTATCACCATTTGTGTTTCCTGATGCTTTTCTAGAATATTTAATTATTTTATTGCTATACATTCATTCATAGTCAGATTTCATTTTTGAGTGATGTAGAACAAGGTATAACCTGGTAATGTAGCTATGCAATTCCAAAGTTTGTCATCCAAACAAGATTCTGTATTGAAATCTTAGAGGCATTTCAAGGGCCAATTCGTTGGACAACCAAACATGTGAATTCGTATTCGTCTCATTTCAGTTTCCACACTGATTTGGAATTCAGGCCAATTCAATACGGAGCTCTCCAATGGAGACATCCAAACGGAGCCTATATGATATTGGCTCTGTGTACCTTTCCTTTTAGCTCTATATATGTCTGGTACACAAAGCGAAGTCAGATATGAGGCATGATCATCATTGGCCATGTTTTCTTTTGTTTGAGCCGTCCTGGATTTTGTTTGACATCACTAGGTGAGATGAATAATGGATCTTCTTCTTGTAACCTGTCATGGTAGGTTATCACCCTTGACATGGGACTTCTTGTTGCCGGGACCAAATACCGTGGAGAGTTCGAAGAAAGGTTGAAGAAACTGATGGAAGAGATCAAGCAGAATGGAGACATAATACTTTTCCTTGATGAAGTCCACACTCTGGTGGGAGCAGGAGCAGCAGAAGGTGCTATTGACGCTGCTAACATTCTGAAGCCAGCACTGGCGAGAGGCGAACTTCAGGTACAGATATGTACACTTTTCATGCAGTGACTAGTATAGTCTGATTCAAGGAAAATGTGATAACTCATAAATCAAACATTTTTGTTAGTGTCTTGGGGCCACTACAATCGACGAATACAGGAAGCACATTGAGAAAGACCCTGCGCTGGAGAGGCGCTTCCAACCAGTGAAAGTTCCGGAGCCCACAGTTGATGAGACCATAGGAATCCTCAAGGGGCTCCGGGAGCGATACGAGATCCACCACAAACTCCGATATAGCGACGAAGCGCTGATCGCCGCTGCCCAGCTCTCATACCAATACATCAGGTTTGTGAATTCCAAGAGCGCTTGTACCATCACATACTGAGTAGTTGGTCAGATCTGCTTGCAAACTTCAGTGTTGGATAGGAGTAGTTCCCAGCATACAACGAAGTTTCCTGACAGACTATTTTGTTTGCAGTGATCGTTTCCTCCCAGACAAAGCAATCGACCTGGTTGATGAGGCAGGATCTCTTGTCAGGCTACGCCATGCCAAGGTAGTACAAGATGTTCTTGAATGATGATGCGCCTAAACATTTTTCCAAGTTGTTGCGTCTACAAGATCTGAATCTGAATTTTGGGCTATGATGACAGCTACCTGACGAAGCTAAAGATCTCGACAAGAAGCTCAAGGAAATCACCAGACAGAAGAACGACGCCATCCGCTCCCAGGAATTCGAGATGGTAATCTTTTCGACTATGATTCAACAAGAGTCAACCTGAAATGCACATCTTATAGGAGAACGTTAATTCTCTGAATGATGTAGGCCGGAGAGCTTCGCAGGGAAGAGCTTGAGCTCAAGACCCAGATCATGTCGCTGGTGGACAAGAGCAAGGAGGTGAGCAAGGCGGAGATGGAGTCGGGAGCATCGGCTGGCCCGATGGTGATGGAGGCGGACATCCAGCGCATCGTCGCGTCGTGGACCAGCGTCCCCGTGGAGAAGGTCTCCGTGGACGAGTCCAGCCGGCTCCTCAAGATGGAGGAGACCCTGCACGGGCGCGTCATCGGCCAGGACGAGGCCGTCAGGGCCATAGGCCGCGCCATCCGCCGCGCGCGCGTCGGGCTCAGGAACCCCAACCGGCCCGTGGCCAGCTTCATATTCGCCGGCCCGACGGGCGTGGGCAAGTCGGAGCTGGCCAAGGCGCTGGCAACCAGCTATTACGGCTCGGAGGAGGCCATGGTCCGGCTGGACATGAGCGAGTTCATGGAGCGGCACACGGTGGCCAAGCTCATTGGCTCCCCTCCCGGCTACGTTGGGTATACGGAGGGCGGGCAGCTGACGGAGGCTGTCCGGCGGCGGCCCTACACCGTGGTCCTCCTAGACGAGATCGAGAAGGCGCACCCGGACGTGTTCAACCTGATGCTGCAGATCATGGAGGACGGCCGGCTCACAGACAGCAGGGGGCGGACGGTGGACTTCAAGAACACGCTCATCATCATGACCTCCAACGTCGGCAGCAGCGTGATCGAGAAGGGCGGGAAGCAGCTGGGCTTCGACCACGACGACGGTGAGGCCCGCAGCAGCTACGGCAGGATCAAGAGCCTGGTGGACGAGGAGATGAAGCAGTACTTCCGGCCAGAGTTCCTGAACCGGCTCGACGAGATGATCGTGTTCCGGCAGCTGACCAAGATGGAGGTCAAGGAGATCGCCGTTATCATGCTTGCGGAGGTGACCGGCCGGATGAAGGCCAAGGGGATCGAGCTGATGGTGACAGAGAACTTCAAGGATCTGGTCGTGGAGGAAGGCTACGACCCCAGCTACGGCGCCCGACCGCTGAGAAGGGCCATCATGAGGCTGCTCGAGGACAAGCTCGCGGACAAGATGCTCGCCGAGGATGTCAAGGAGGGAGACTATGTGATCATCGACGCCGACCCGATGGGTAACGTCGCCGTCCTTAGCAGGCACAGCGACTCGCCGGAGGACCAGCCGCTGGCGTTTCCTGCCTAGCTAGTACAGTTTAATCAAGCAGTTCATTTTTTGTTTTTATATATTTTGTACTATATAGGGGATAAAGCAGATGCATAGTTAAGTTTCAGATGCCGGCCATGTTTACCATTTTGGTAAGCGGTGAATGAAAGAGAGATCTCCTGATTACTGATGCTCGGCAAACACTGGCCATTTGGCAAGCAATACAAGACAATGGGATCAAACTTCGATGATTTTCCTTCGATCACCGGAAAATCATATTGCAACTTGACAGGGTCGATAATATATTACTTCTATACAAAATGATGATACTACTATAGTTCTCCAATGGCACTGCCAAAGGAGGCTATCCAAATAATATAGGCCAACCAAAAGAACCCAGGAAAGTACCTGTACTATATACCTTCCATACCACCACATCAGTAGCTCACGCATGTTAAGAAGGTACAGAGGGCAACCCGCCGATTAGGTTGGACCTAGACCTCGCCTCTTTTGCTTCGGATTGGGACTTGACGCTTCCTTAAAAGCTGATGGGCAAATGGTGTTTATGCCACAGCTGCCGCATTTGGGCCTCAGCGGAGTACAGATTGTCTGACCAAATCCGACCTACATGAGATTTTCAGTTCCAACGTAAGACAAGCATTTCTGGGAACTACGAAGGTATAATCCAAACTTGTTCTGCTCGATCCCCACCAAAAAAAGAAGAGCCTGTAGTTACTTGGAAATAGGAAAGAAAACATTCCCTGTAACCAAAGTTGAACCAATTCAGTGGAGCATTACCAGTAGCGGGTTTATTGGCTCCCACTCATCCTTGGGCAGCCACTTCTCAAGAGACATCCTTGTCTGTTCTGGTGTAGTAGTTTTCTGTGAAAAAATAAATAAAAAACCAATGGTAAATATAACTTGTTTCCAAGCAGAAAGAGTAGACAATACGAACTTAACAAACAACCTGCTTTGTTCCTTCTCGGAAAACCCATCCAAGACGGTTGGAAATGCGATGCACATGAGTGTCCACACAGATTCCTTGAGTATTCTTCCATGCGATGCTCATCACCTGTTTCGTGAAAATAGCTATGAAGAAACTTAAGTTTAAATTCCAACTATGGATTATATGATTAGTAGATAAATTACCAGATGAGCCATTTTAGGGCCAACTCCTTTCAGAGCAAGCAGATCAGTCAAAGTATCTGGAATATCTCCTCCAAATCGCTCAAGGCAAATTCTGGAAGCTTCTTTTATGAATTGGGCCTTCCTCTGATAGAATCCAACCTGATTAAATTATGCACAGTACTGTATAAATAGTTGACCTCAATAGCTTAACGTAAGCGGTGCAAAGATGACAGTAGAAGCTAACAAAACCGTTAAGGCGCTTGCCTCCGACTAGCTAATTTAGCAACAATTGCAATTACCCACACGAGATGGTAACAAAGTCTAAAGCAGGGTTATACGGGTCTAGTCTGTTATCTATTGGCATTATGCCAATGATGTGACAATAAAAGTAGATGATCAAATTCTATTTTCATGTTCATAGCTTCAGATACTAATAAAGTAACAGTTACCGTTTAAACTAAATCAGGAAGGTGCCATTACTTTTGATCCTAATTAAGCAAAAGGCTGGCAACTTACAGGTTTGATAAGATTTGCCAGTGTGGCCTCATCTGTTCTGACGATAGCATCAGGGTCAAGTAAACCGTTCTCACCGAGACGCTCCACAGCAGCTGATAACAATTCAGTCCAAAATACAATCAGCATTCGTCTGAAAGAGAAACGCTACTAAGTACAGTTACAGCTAGGGAAAATAATTAAGTAGAGTCAGACTTTTTCATGACAAGATTACCTCAATTCAGTGGAATATGTAGTCATGTAAATATTGTAATTTATTTTGGTTCTTTAATAGAAAATATACCGTAGGGGGCTCCCCTACTGTTCAGTGGTTAAAAAATCAATTCAGTGGACAAACAACTTGAAAATCCACCTCAAGTTCGGAAATCTGAACCGCCATTCACTAATCTATATTAACACCATATAAAAGATTCCTACTAAATTCAAATTCATATTGCAGTAAAAAAAACAAATTTGTATAGAATAATAAAAGAGCTCACAGGTGTAAGCAACTAAGCATGCTCAAATCTTCCACAGGGCCCCTCTTCAACCAACAGTATAGCACATTTATTAATGGACCATAATGGTTAGATCCATGCAAGTATTTTATACCAACAAGGGATGAGCAAACCAGACAAACAATACAATCATTGTTTTCTGTTAATTGCTTACAAACTCATGTTTCTAACAATTGTCAAAACAGGGTGAAATTACATGTTTCTGGAAAGATGGGGAGAGGATAAGAGACTAGTGTGTATTCCAGCAATGCTTTGGACTTGCTGTTGAACATCTATGTAAGAACGCCGTCACATTTGAACGATTTTCAGCAGAACATGGATTAGTACCAGCTTCAGCATTCACAGGCTATCACTAATAGGCATGAAATGATAAGTTGAGTCAAGTTCCACAATGTACTATACTCCGAGCAGTAATTGCAAGAGAATTAAGTCTCAGATGCATATGCTGAGGTCATAATTTCACAGCCGTGGAAACTGAACTGAGTGATTTGAACTGTCGAGCGTTTTCAACAATCGATTCTAAGTGAACCACTGATTCAGTTACTTTCAGTTCCATACAAAATTGGAAGATACATATAGTAATAACCAATTGCCAAAAAAAAAAATCCTAAGGCATACCATGCGTAACTTCATCTTTTGTCTGGCTTGACATCATTGTTGATATAAGAACTGCAAACCTTCTTTCCTGCACAGGAAGAAATGTAGCTTATGGTTTGTTAACTAATGAGGATCAATAGTGTTGCATAGCATCATTCGATGCAACTGGAGCCAGTGGAAAACAAATATTAGATCCACCTAAAAAAAATAGCAGATCAATGTGCAAAACTTTGTTTACAACAAATATGCAGTAATACGGTATCAACCGAAAATTAGTGGATCAATAGGCCCAAATCCATGGCCAATCTGCAATCCATTAGCCATGAACCCATGTACAGACTGCATTTTCTGCCTAGCTAGTAAACATTTCAAATGGTAACATAGCACAAGGAAATTAGGGGAATTTGCAAATTACATAAAACCCACACTCTCCCTATGTATGACATATTAAGCCAAAGAGGATCACATCCTCGTGTACTGTTCATAGTAAATGGACTTTGTAAACTACAATTTTGAATCTGAACAACTCTCTGACGAATACCTTGGGTGGAAGAAGAGAACCAGCCTTTTCACAGCCCTTTGTATCTACGGGGGCCTGGCCAGATAACCTAATGTTTTTAATACCTGCAAGAACTGCTTCCCAATTTTCTGGAGCTGCAACTACACACATTACTATGTTAGCTTCTTGATCAGCAAATGGACATGAGGATCAACACATTTACATGTAGGAGCAAAAACTCTTAATAGAGTAGTCAAAATATCTGGTTTTGACACAATTGCTTCGCATGGTGCAACATTTAACTATTCAAGTGGTACTGGTACGTATGTAATGATCTGAAGTCAGGAAAAGTGGACCGAATGTATTCAAGAGCCTAAGTTGAAAGAATTTGAACTCCGTGAAAAATTAGGCATCCCAATAAAGATGTCTGCGGGAATCAAAAGGCCAGAATGTACGAGCAACATGTATGGTTAAATTGATCCCACAAAAGAATGTAAGCACTACATGGACAAAATTATGTAATTCACTATCAAAAATTGAGGAAATATTGTGGATACTGATTATATAGGTTTGACTTGATATCAGGTTATGTTTGAAGCAGAAGCTGCGTCTGTCTATTTTAAAGATCATCATTTTGGTAACATGGGCCATCTGGAACACTAGAAATGATTTATTTCTAAAGGTCTTCAGCCAAATCTATGCAGATGCAGGAATAGATTTAAGGAGGAAATGAGATTGCTTATTCACACAGCTAAAAGGAAAGCATACTCAGGGCTGCGACCTTGGGTTGAGGCATTCATCTGACTTGGTGCATTCTAGTAAAGGGCTCTGCCTTGTGTTAGTTTTATTTTATTTTATGTTTCCTGTACATCCTTCTAAACTTAAAATATAAATACATGCAGGAAGGAAATCTACTGTCTTCCTCAAAAAAAAATCAGGTTGCAAGAACAGAAATCATCTATAGTAAGAATAACAGCGACATCATCTCAAAAAAAAGAATAACATCAATATAATTTGGACAAATATGACATAATTTATCTTTCCTGTTAATCTTCTGACGTCTAATTACCTTCCACTTTCACAACAGATGAAACTCTGATCTTTTTCTCCAACCTGACTGAAGACGTGAAAGGGTAAGCTTTTCATAGGACATAAGGGCAAAATTTACACCTACAGTAAAATGACACATGCAGATTTACAACAAGATTAACCATATGCAGGAAACCCAAAAGGGGGATTACTGCACAGAATAATGATAACAAGCCACGCTTGACGAAACAAATGCAAACATGCAACAATTGACTCTTAACATTCATAATAGTCCTCAATTTAAGCACATGGTACATGTGGAGCAATTGATTGACGAACAATGATTATGGATCAAACCATTTAGATGAAACATCGAAACTTACCTGGTGAACTGTTCTTATTTGATGATGCTGGTACCCTCTTCGTAGATACTGATGTTTTTGCCTCGGTCTTTACATATCGAAAATCATCGATGTCAGGAACAGCACCAACCTGCATATGTGTAATATTTTCTTCAGCGGGACCTGAATTGGACCAAAAAACCAATAGTAGAAAAGGAAGCACTGCTAAACTGAGAGCACGAATGCACTGAAAGGGTTAAAGTGCAGCTGTACAATTACATCTCAGCATAACCGAATAGTCAAGCGCACAGTAATTTAAACCAAGTCCAGGAAGAAGAATTAGTGATGCACAATGCTTCATTTTTAATAGGAAGAGAAACATTATTATAGTTAGTCAGCATATACCTGCTTCTTAGGATGCTCCTCCTTTACCTCAAGCACCCGGTTCAGCCTTTTCCTCTCCACAGAATTCATTTCAGATTTGGAGTAGTCAAAAGAAACACTGGGTTCACACTTCACTTCCTTTACACCTGAAAAGGCACCAGTCATGCTTTAGACAAAACAAGTACTCCCTCCGTTCCTAAATATAAGTCTTTGTAGAGATTTCACTATAAACTACATACGGATCTATATAGATGCATTTTAAGTGTGGATCCGTTCATTTTGCTCCGTATGTAGTCCACCTAGTGAAATCTCTACAAAGACTTACATTTAGGAACGGAGGGAGTAATAGTAAACACACTATGAAAACAAGAATGCGGAATTTAACAGTCATAGATATGACTGAATGGAAAGTATCGAGTCGTAGCTGAAGTGAACCGATGCATAACAAAATTTTGGTCATCTTATTTATGAAAGGAAAAAAGAAAATATTTTGGATCGTATTTATGTCTTGAAATTAGAAGGTTCAGGCAACATGAACATACAGAAATAAGTGAGATAACTCATCTAAAAAATGTTTTCCTTAAGGGGGTTACTGCACAGAATAATGTACAAGCCACGCTTGAAGAAACAAACACAAACATGCAACAACTGACTCTTAACATTCATAATAGTCCTTGAGCAATGCCAAAATATAAGCGGATGGTACATGTAGAGCAATTTATTGACGAACTATGATAGAATTTAGCATTCATAATAGTCCTTAAGCAATGCAAAATAAAAGCACATGGTACATGTAGAGCAATTGATTGACGAACTATGATTATCGATCAAACCATTTAGAGGAAACATCAAAACTTACCTGGTGAACTGTTCTTATTTGATGATGCTGATACCCTCTTTGCAGTTACTGACGTTTCTGCCTCAGTCTTTACATATCGAAAATCTTCAATGTCAGGAACAATACTAACCTGCATATGTGTAAATATTTTTCTTCAGTGGGACATGAATTGGACCAAAAACCAATAGTAGAAAAGGAAGCACTGCTAAACTGACAGCACGAACGCACAAATGCACTGAAAGGGTTAAACTGCAGTTGTGCAATTACAATCTCAGAATAATTGAACACTCAAGCGGACAGTAATTTAAACCAAGAATTTGAGAAATCCAGAAAGAAATCGAAAGATGCACAATGCTTCCTTTTTAATATGAAGAAAAACGTTATTATAGTTAGTCAGCAGATACCTGCTTCTTAGGAAGCTCCTCCTTTACTTCAAGCACCCGGTTCAGCCTTTTCCTCTTGACAGAATTCATTTCAGACTTGGAGTAGTCAAAAGAAACACCGGGTTCAAACTTCACTTCCCTTACAGCTGAAAATGCATCAATTCATGCTTTACAGAAAACGAATAATGATACCAAAGAAACTTCGGAATTAAGACATGTAGATTTTAACAGTCGTAGATATGACTAAGAATGGAAAGCACTGAGTCGTGGTTGAAGTGAATTGGTGCGTAGTTAGGCTGAAAAAATGTTAGTGATCATACTTGAGCTTTTCTTCTTATCAATAAGAAGATAAATGACAAGCAAACTTCTTCCATTTTATGGAAGGAAAAAATAATCAATTTTGGATCGCGTTTATGCGTTGAAATTAAAGCTTCAGCCTTGAGGCAACATGGACATACATAAACAAGTGAGACAACACATCGGAAAAATTGTTTTCCTTACATTCAACAAACAAGCACATGATAGCTAAAAGACTATGATGCATAAGAACAAGCTTTTAGTGATAAGAAAATAAAATGGTACCCGGGTGGGGTTGCTTCCATCTTTTCTAGCATTTCCAGAAAAAGCCATGCCAGGGGAGAAAGGACTGAAACTTTGCGACTTTGCAAACATATTTTACACAAATTAAAAGCGTATGGCATCTTTTTAACATATTTTGGATCGTATTTATGTCTTCAAATTAAAAGGTTCAGGCAACATGAAAATACAGAATTAACTCATCTACGCAATGTCTTCCTTACATTCTTTTTTAAGGAACCTTACATTCAACAAACAAGCACATGATTACTAAAAGTGTATGACCCACGGGAATATCACCGAATCTTCAAGAGAGCACACTGATTTCACATAATTTGTCAAGCGAAATAAACAATTCCGGCCGCTGAGCTTTTAGTGATAAAAAAAATGTTTTGGGCGGGTGGGGTCGCTTCCAACTTTAGTACTAGCATTTCAAGAAATAACCAACTGAATGTACAAGTATTTCCATAATACTAGCAGCAAATGGGGTATGGAAATACACAGGCACAAAACTGAATTTAAAAGGGGGGAAAGGAGGCGAACTTTGAACTGGGTTGAGCTCCGGGCGGGATGCGCGGATGAGCCTGGAGGCGGGGCGCGAGCTGGACATGGAGGAGATCGACGAGAAGAGGCCAATGCGGTGCGGGAGGAGATGGAATTGGAAGCGCATGGCCGGCTGGTGCGCGCCACTGCGTTAGGGTTTTATGAGCAACGGGAGGGAGGGACAGGGGTCGTGTTCCAACTTTTCCCCTGTCTTGGTTTTGGTGGGTGGGGTCTTCCCCTGCGGGCTGCGGCGAGTGGCGCTCCACGGCGATGCGTGGCTTCCTTTTTGCGGCGGCCAGGTTTGTCTCGTGGGATACTGCATCGCCTCTCGTAATCGCTTGTTTGTTGGCCTTTGACTGGAATCCTATCGTGTTAAGTGATTAAACTAATTACAAATAATAAAGTGTTACTCCCATGTATCTAGACGAATCTAAGACAAGAATTTTGGGACGGAGGGAGTACATCAAAGGTGGACAGTGGTATCCCAAGCCCACTAAGATTCAAGTCCTAGTGCTTGCATTTATTCTGAATTTATTTCAGGATTTCCGGCGATACATTTTCAGTGGTAGGAGACGTGACTTCGTAAAATCTAAAGATGATATGTCGGCTCAGTCTCTTCAAGGTGTTCATAGGGATAGGGTGTGTGTGGGTGCGTTCATAGGGATGAGCGTAGCCTATTCCGTCTAAAGTCGGACGGCCTCGTCCCCTCAAAGCGTATCCACACACTCAAGAAGGATCCGGCAGCGCCCACGGTCGTCGGGCACGTCCTCGTCCACCTTGAAGGTGGAGTGCTCCCCTTGGACGAGGAGGGACAGAGGCCGCCCCTGCTCATCGTTGTGACGGGCGATGAGTTCACCACGCAAATGGAGAAGGTGATGTGGCGGTCCCTGGCCGGCCGAGGTATGGCAGTCATCCCATCCTTGCAACCGCGACATCCACGGATGCATCCGCGTTAAGAAGGAGGTGTCGTCCCCTCCGCTCAATCGCGACGTCCAGATCGAACGCCACATGAAGGAGGAGCCACTATTGTTGCCAGCGGGGCAACCAATGGTGGTGGTCGGCCCTCCCCGTCGTCGTCTAAGACACCCCCGCACCTCTACTACTACCTCGAGGGCGTGGGTCCGCCTCCTCGTCCAAAGTCGTGGCCAAGGCGTGCATGAAGCGTTCGTGAAGAACTAGGTGGCGTTGGCACGGTGCTTGCGGAGGCTTGGGCCATCGACCGGTCCAAGACCACCGATTAGACGGACGTCCGTCAATGACACCGACTCAATGACCAGCTCCTAAAAGGTGGGTCCGACGGAGTCCGCCCGTGCCTCTTCATCCGAGTCGCCGAAGACAAGTGATGCAAAGGAGTGAAGGATGCGACAGAGCATCTGCACCACGAGCGCACGACGGTGGCCGGGTAAGGATGCTTCAACGCCAATAACGACGGGGATGTCGGTGGCCATGCTTAGGAAGTCACCTTCAGGTACCTGGCCTAGTTTAGTTAGCTTTTAGTTTGAACTTGTTAAATTCTGTTTGGTTGTAAATATAGTTGTTTGTGCTTGTTTCAATGGGTTGGAAATTGCACAGGTTTCACTAGTCAAATCAAAGACCTAAAATTAGTGACCGGGTCCGTTGGGAGTAGTGGAAGATTTTTAGAGCCAACCACAATACATTATATTTTTAGTTAGACAACCACAATAATACATTGTCTCTAGATATTGTATATCTATAAAATGATGATGCATTTCAACGTTGTGTTATGATTGTTATGATTCCAACATTGGGGTGCTTGGTTGCTTAACCATCTGATTAATTTCATCTCTTCCTGTCTGCCTGATGTGCAAAATCCGACGATAATAAAGAACTAAGAGAAGTGATTCCAGTACAGCTAGCCCACAAAAAATGTAACCACATCTGCAAACAGGGATTATGATGACCAGCATTCCAACCACATTTGCAAATCGATCTCCATAAACATGATCAATGAATTTATTAAAAGTGCACTACTAGAAAGATCAACTATGCGCTTGATCTAAGGAGAGCCTACCATGCAAAACCACAGCAATCCACACGACAGGCAGAAAACAAACACTCAGCAGCATTCACTCCTGGTCCAGGTCAAAGGCAACGGTTTCTTCTGTGACATCAACCAGCTCCTCCGCCTCAATCTCCTTGTATTCCGCCTCTTCTTCCTTGTCGCTGTCCTCCCCGCCCCTAAGCTGCATCCTGAATGCTCGCTCATCCTCGTGCAGTTGCTTCCACTTGGCGACCCATGCTTCCCACACCTCTTGAAGCCGCATCCGTCTCTTGCGCTCCTCCTCGTCCAAAAGGTGGTGCACGTCCTGATCCTCTTGTTCGTACTTCTTGCTGTACCGCTTGAGGTTCTTTGAGATGTTCTTTGAGATGTCCTCCTCCTTCTCGGGAGTAAGCAGCGACGGAGGCCTTGGGCGCCATTGGAACTGTACCATCCATCATGCAAAGGGCAAAGCATTACTACAGAGGGATTCAAACAACAAACGAGGGATGGATGGAAGCTCTACCTGATAGAAGTGATCCTTTAAAACCTTGTAAATATGCTTGCCATTGAAGGACCAGATTTGGAAACCATTTTCCATCTCATGAACCGAGGTAACTGCAGTTGCGAGATATCTGAACAAGCAGGTTCCAAAACCACCTTAGTTCATCCGTGGTAAACCAAACAGATTTTGGCTCTACTGAATTACAAGGGAATCATAGTAAATGAAACACACTATTATTACTATTGGTTAATTTCAACTACTAAGTCCATGCAATTTGAGGGTGAGTGTTGTTTTAACAGGTGAAGACAATTAAAAATTTCAACTGAGCATCTACGTTCGAGTGTTCAGGGTGTGATAATTCCTGTAACCTATTCAGTACTCCCTCCGTCCGGAAATACTTGTCATCAAAATGAATAAAAGGGGATGTATCTAGATGTATTTTAGTTCTAGATACATCTCTTTTTGTCCATTTTGATGACAAGTATTTTCGGACGGAGGGAGTATATGCTTATTATATTGCTTTAACATTTGCTTTGTAAATATCACCAGATAGCGACGAGAAGAAAATTTTCAATTAAGTGATAGGCTCACCTTCCAGTAGGATCCCACATGATGTCAGTCGCCATAAAATGTTCTCCTGTCGCCAGGGTCTCAAGATCATCAACGTTGAAGAACTCCAGCTGGCCATTGAAACCCCTCAGCCCTGCCAGAACAATGAAACGCCCAGCAGGAGACCAGAACAATGCATTGGCTTGCTTGCCCTTGAGTGTGGTGAGCTTGGACACACGACTAACATTATTGTTGACTGCTTTCATGGTGTAGAAACTTATATCGGGCTTAGGCCCATCACCATGAATAACAGCAAAGCGGTGACCTTTAGGCTCCCATGCAAAGGCAATTATCTTGTCATTCTTGTTGTCCAATTCAAAGACCTCAATTGGGATGTCTCGTTCCTTGATTCTGAACAGCTCAAACCCAGTGTAAATGCTCTTCTTTGTTTTTGTGTACCTGTCTACCTGGACAGCCAGATATTCTCCATTGTTTTGCCAGTACATTTTGCAGTCGCTCACACTGAAAAGGTTTTTCTGCCGAATCTCCTCTTTGCCCGGAATTTGCACAAGACTCACCTTTCAACACAGAACACATATTTTAGCATTCGATGCTAACTGAATAAACATCTTAAAAGAGGTAGCAGTAGCAATTTTTTACTTACCCTGGCAGGCTGATTTCCACCACCCAATTCAGGCACAAAGAGTGATATGATAGGATCAGTGGGAGACCAACTGAAGTCAACCACATTTTCTACCTTCAAGGACTTCTTATCAATAAGAGCGAATGTCTCAGTATCATAGACAGATATAACATTCTTTCCTAGCCTAGCAAAATACTTATCATCTCTTCCACCACCCCACCTTCAAAAAAAAACACATAAATAAAAACATCCTAAGCATCAAGCCATGACAACCTAATAAGATGTGCATTCACTTCAAAGCACAGAAGTAGTGGGTTCACCTGAAGATAGGCCATGAAATACCAGACACACCCATATTTCCACCAGTAGTGAAATCATCAGCACTTCCCTTGAACTCCCGCCTTACTTTTCCAGTCCGTACATCAAAGATATTTAGTACAACCCTCTACAAGTATAACATTTGCAAGTCAGATAGGAGACAAGATATGAACAGAAAGAAGTCTTGTAACATTCACTTACATGTGTGTCTATGGGGTTGCTGGGCTCATGGCTGCTGTAAGAAATCAAATATTTCTCACCGGGAGAGAAATCGATGAGTTTCAACTGTGACAGGTAGCTGTCAGCTAAAAGGACATTGTGTATTGCATATATTTACTGTTAGCACAAACCAGTACCTGTGGATGAAGAAAGCGCATTAGACGAACAAACTTATCATCACCACCCCACACCTGCGCGCCCTGCCTATGCACGGTCGCCAAGTGTGTTCCAAGAGGGGACCATTGAATATAGCTATCCGTCCAGTACTGTCAAAGAAGAAGATACAGGATATTTATGAAAATTAGTTCTTATAGGATATATGATAGGCCTCCATGACCTTTAGTTTCCATTTTCCAAAAAAATTAAAAGCAAAAGGTAAATAAGAAAATGAAGTACCTGCTTTTGGTACACAAGCTCAGGCGTTGCCCGTCTAGCGTCATTCCAGTACACTTCCGTGAAAGTACCAGCACGGATCACAAACTGATCTCTGGCCTTATCATCACTTAGCCACTTCAGAAGATTTTCCTGCAACACATACACATATAACATTCAAGTTACATAAAACCTCTAGTAATGTAAAGAAACAAACAAGTGTGTGTATGGTGGTGGGGGGTAGAGAATACGCACTCCAGGAGTGTATGGCTTGATTTCAGCAGGCGCCCACTCATCAGGAACTTTCATGTACTTCTCAAAGTCATCAAACATATTAACAGAAAATATGTGAGATTTGTCCAGTTTGTAGCCACATGTTTTTTCCATAGCAAACTCAGCTTCCTGGCACATTGTCAAATAATCCTCTTTCAATCAACAAAGAGGGTCATGAATAATCCCAGTAACAGAATGCAAAATAATTTATGAAAGCAAAAGTGGAGTTAAATTTGGATGGGCACTTAATTAAATTTGGTCATAACAGTAGAACACTATAACAGACTAGCAATAATCCAGTAAAACTAAAAGTACAAAGTCTTGCTTCGAACAATCGTCTTTCTACAGAAAAATCCCAACAATTACACAGTAGAACAAACTCTACCAAACAAAGGTGTTTCCATGCATGTTTGCACTCTGCTGATTATCTTCTTCAGATCCACGTACAAAAGTTAAGCAGGATAGTGAGTTCAAATGGAATAGGGATGACCTATTTCATCGTAGGAATGCACATGACTTACAAAGGTAACAGAATCAAGCCATTGCCTCATTCCATCATGCAGATATGTATGTATAAATAAACCTAACTTACAAGAAGCAACATACCTGTGGAGTATTGAACTCAATGAAGCAGTAGCCCTGGGTCTTCTTCGTCTCTGGGTCTGTAGGCATCCAAAGCCCACCTTCCTTGATCACACCAAGCTGACCATATATCTTGCGCAAAACATTCTCCAGCTTCTCGTACTTCTCCGGGGGGACAACGGCAGATTGTCCACCACAATAATGTTTGCAAAACCTATCTCGAGCTCTGGAATGTCTTCATTCTGAAGTAAATCCTCGTCGTCGCTGCAAATCATGATTGAATTGCGACATGAATAACAAAATCAACAGATACGCGACTCCTACCTACTTTGACCGCCTGTAGGAAGGAGGTGGCGGGGCTGGTAAGGGAAGATGATGGATGATACCTGAGGATATTGAAGTCCTCGCCGGGCGGGAGGGTGATGGAGTCGACGTCGACGGAGTCGAGGTCGATCCCCAGCTCCCGCGCGCGCGCATCTATGGCTTCCATCGAGATTGCTAACGCCATCTTCCACGGAGTTTGGGGGCACCCGCAGGTGAGCGGCGGAGCACAGGCGAGGGCGCGGGGGGCGCGGAGCGCAGGCGAGGTCGAGGGCGAGGGAGCGGCGGAGCGCAGGCAAGGTCGAGGGCGAGGGAGCGGCGGAGCGTAGGCGAGAGGTGGCGGAGGCGCTGCAGAGCTCTAGGGTTCAGGATTCGGGGGATGGATTCGGCCGGGGGTTCGGGGCACTGCTATGTGAGGAGAGCCGGCCCAGTAGCACGCGTGACCGGCACGTCACGTGCCGTCGTGGGCCGTGTCGTGCCAGCCACGTTTTAAGCGTGGGTCGGCCCGTGCCGGCCCAGATGGCCAGGTCCGTTCGGGAGTGCTCCACGGCCGCTAACCCCCGGGGCTATCGATTCGCTCGATACTGAGCATTTTTTCGGAAATCCAATTCGCCTCCCACGTGCGAAAAATGATTTTTGAAATTTCAAAACAATCTCAACTAAAATCGATGTGTTCATAGTCACATTCAAATGTTACCTGCAAATTGTTAGATAAAAATGTTAAGTATTTTGACCTGTGCAAAAAAAAAAATGAACATCAAATGTTACACCCAACTTTGTTGTTTCACCGATGAAAACGCTGCTCCGTTTCGCATAAAAATTATCAAATATGCCTGTGACACTAACACAAACATCTACAAAAAAAATCATGATTTTTAAATTATTTTAAAAAAATACTGTTCATACAAGAGCAAATGCACCCAGGAGCCAAAACATCCTCCACGCATTTTTCGTCCATATTTTTTTATAATCATAGGGAGGCCTCTCCCCCCGACTCCATTACTCAAATGAAACCCAACATGTTATACAACAACTCACTCAGAGGAACAGTTCAAGAGATAAAACGACTACAGCTATAAAAGACGGTTATGAAACCTACAAGCATAAACGGCAACGTGAGAGTTAAAGATAGACAAGCAACACCATGCCCTACAAGCAACTTTCATGTGACGTCATAAATGATCTCACGACATGATCTTCTGGTCTTCAAGGTGTGGCGCAGATGCCGCCTGAGGAGACCAACACACAACATGGGTATGTACACAACTGGGTACGTAGACACTGGACTGGTTTATGGTGGACTTGCTCCCAGCGCTTCTCTTCTTGATTGGCAACATGAAGTTGGCGGCCTCGTCGGAGATCTTGAACTTGCTACAAGGGTCACCAGGGGTGAGGATCCAGTGTAATATTGAGGTGGCGTACTCAACCACCTGAGATCATCAGAGGTTGCCAGATGAAATTTGTCAGGGTTTCTGAAAAGTCCATCAACCTCACTCTGCTTTGTTTTGGAGATAGGATCGCCCAGAACCTGATGGTTCTTAAGATCAATCTCCAAATATGAGTAACAGATGTCCATTTGGCGTTGTCAAAAATCATAGAGTTCCTATATTTTCGCAAGCACCAAATTATAGCAGAACTAATAGTATTCAAAGCTACTTTCTTATTATTTGCAGTCCAAAATATAGTTATAGATTCAAAATCACTCCCAATAGGGAGTTTAAAGTAATATCCAATAAAAGACCAAATATTCGTAGCAACCACACAACCAAAAAACATATGAGAGAAAGATCCATCTTCCATGCAAAAAAAAAACAGTCTAGTGGTTTTATTATGTGTCTCTTCCTAAGATTGTCCCTAGTCATTAGCTTATCATGGGGGAACAACCAAAGGAAGACATGGATTTTTAAAGGAACTTTAAGGTTTTACACAACAGGGACAAAAACTGGTTGAACTCCTCTGAAGCTAATCACATGATACAAGGAGCTGGTGGAGTAATGCCCCTTGTTTTTTGATCCCTCTATAAACTAATACTCCCTCCGTTCCTAAATATAAGTCTTTGTAGGGATTTCAATAAGTGGACTACATACGAAGCAAAATGAATGAATTTACACTTAAAATGCATCTATATACATCCGTATGTGATTTATAGTGGAATCTCTACAAAGACTTATATTTAGGAACGGAGGGAGTATAAAACATTTTAGATCACTAAAGTAGTAACTGCCAAACCAAAGAGTCAGGATCTTCATTAAAAAAATCGTCCATTATGGCTGGACTCGTTCGGTTGTGGCATAGGAAAAGGGATGGCATGCTGTGTAAATGGTTGGGCCCGGTAAATTGTGAGGGCAGACATGTTGTGAAGATGTATTGGTTGTTCTATTTCATTGTGAATAATATCATGTCGGAGACAAAAGGCAATACCATGAAAGAGATTCATTCTTCCATAAACTGCTACATATAAGTGATTCGGGGAAAAGTGTCCTTCTTTATCAATGCATTTGTAGACAGCGTGTATCGAATTTGTAATGAAAATGGATATCAGGGCAGCTCAAAAGTGCACGAGATCCAGATGTTGGTGTGTCCTCATTGAAAAGGATTTGCAATTGCCTCCTCTTCTATTAAATTTGCCAACAAAAGTACTTTCTATGTTTATAAAACAATATGATATATGGAAATAAAGCGAGTTAGCTTTCATTAGTTGATGCCATTAGCTGAGAGAAACATACATGCATCCAGATGATGTGACGTAATAACACCTATATAGCAAATTCATGTCCTTATCTGTTAGCAGGATTACAATATCGCAGTGCATAACAATCGGTTCTTGTCAAGGTTTGCAAGTCCCGACTGGCTTTGTTAGTAGGGATTACATGTCCAATTCTGCACAATAGTAACACCAAATACTGTAGGAGTAGGGTTTTTTTCAAGCAAACGGAAAGCAGTAAACCCGCAGTGTTAAGGGCGCAGTGTAAAGCACTAGAAAGAATATGAGGTATTTGTGAACATGTGATCGATTAAATTAAAAATAATTATTTTACTGTACCAGTATACAAAAGAATAGGAAATATTTATTTTTTGAAGCATGGTACTCCCTTCGTTCGAAAAAACTTGTCCCTCAAAGTGATGTATCTAGTTAGTGCTAGATACATCCATTTGAAGGACAAACTTTTTCAAACGAAGGAAGTATAATATAATGTGATCATCGTATCAGATAGAGTTGAAGGAGCCGAGAGCCAAAGAGTTAACGAATAGGCCCTGAGCCCACCTAATCCGCATGGCGCGAAACACACACACGAATTTATAGACTTAATGTTAATATGAAAAATATAAATTCCTCATGAACAACGTCAAATCGCATGAAAAATGTGTAATTAGCATGTTATTATGCCATCAAGGATCCTTGTCTTATTTTTCATAAAAAAATAAAAAGAGGTCCAAGTGGATTGTAAAATTCCTACACTTTTTCTTTGATACTGAAATAAAAGGAAATTCTCTTTCATTTTTTCTGTTGTTACATTCCCTTCAACCAAAGGCTCAAATAATAGCATAAGAAAATTTTCTATTATTATATGCTTCCTTCACTTTTCCATTAACCAAAGGAGACCTTACAAGACACTCATATGACATAAAATTTTAGAATGTTATTATGCCACTAAGGATTTTAACCTCATTCTTTGTGCATAGAAATTTAAAACAAAGATCTGAGTGGATGTTTGAATTTCTGCACTTTTTTAAAAAAACTAAGATCGATTTACTTTTTCCCTTCACTTTTCTGTCGCCCCATTATTTTTAAACCAGTGTGAAAGGATCGATATAGCTGACTAGAGGGGGGTGAATAGGCAACTAACAATTTTTTGCTTTTCTTTACCAAATTAAACTTTGCATCAAAGTAGGTTGTCTAGATATGCAACTAGGTGAGCAACCTATATGATGCAACAACGAGATGCACAGAAGCAAGCAAAGGATATAACACAATATAGCTTGCACAAGTAAAGGTGAGA